GAATCTGTAGCAGTGTCCATGGCCGGGGGCTAGGGGTTGCGGCTGGCGGAGGAGACATCCCACCACAGTGCCTAACTCCCATTGATTTCAATGGACGTGAGGCGCCCGGGATAGGGTACAGGCCCCACGCCGACCAAGAAGGGGTTAATGGGGGCCTGTGGGCCCAGCCAGCCCCACCCCGTTGCACCCTGTGCCAGGTGCCGAGCCTGGAGGGAGGAGATTCAAGAGGAAAGGCCCAGCTCAGCCGTGGTGACTGGAGGGAGGGGAGCTCCCGAGCTCGGCTGGGGCTAGAACCGAACCAGAGACTGCCTCGGGGCTGCCTAGAAGGCAGGACCTGCTGGGGGCTGGGACCAGAGCCTCCCTGGGGCAGGACTTTTGTTTCTCCTCACGCGTTTGGCTCCCCTACGTCTGCAGAAGAGCCAGCAGGGAAGAGACTGAGGAAGGCCCCGGCAGGAAGCAACCCAGGGATGCAGCAGAGGGGCTGAACAAACGGGTCCCTGGGCTGGAAGCCAGAGCGGAGGGCAGGCCTGGCCCACCAAGGGCCTATAACCTGGGCTGAACCCGAGGAGAGCTGGACTCGGGATTCCCTGGAGGGGCAGGATTAATAGTGATGCGAGGACCTGGGTGTGACTTGCCCAGATCCCATTGAAGAGCAGGTCTCCCCAGTCCCAGCCTCGTACCCTAACCACTGGACCACGCTTCCTCTCTCAGAGATATTTTACATCAAGAAACAATGTCTCTGCTCCTTTCCCTGTAAATTGCTTCCCCCCAGGCCGCGTGCCCAGAGAGAGGAGACAACACACACCATAGGATTAGATTGGCCTCGGTTTCACCAAGTACAAGACGGGCTTTGAGGTTTGAAGTCCAGTAGTCCAGGCTCTCTCTCCCCTGCGTCTCTTGCTGTGCAGAACACAGGAGATGCCTCACTAACCAGCCAGGGGACTGATCGAGGGTTTGGCTTTAGCGATGTGCTGCCTTGCGATCCCTTTAAGCCGCTTGTGTCCTGCACGGTGCCCCGTGGTCAGAAATTAATCCTAAAGGAACTGGGGAAAGACGGTGATTATTTGCACGCTTCCTGTCGGGTCACAAGCAGTGTGGACCTCTGCGAACCCCAGCGTCACCCGGAAAACAGGGCTGCAGACTCAGGGGGAGACAGATGACCCCCCCGCTTGCCGACCCTGAGGGCAGCTGACTTCTGCAGTATTACCGAGCATGCTCAGTCCATGGGAGCATGCTCAATACAAGCCAAGCAGCAAATCTGGGGGGGACACCTGACCCCCCAAACCTCCCCCAATGCGTTGCCTCTGGTGGGAGACCAGTGTCTAGAGCGTGAGCTCTTCCGGGGCAGGGACAGAGCCGGGAAAGCGGCGTTTATTGATTGATTGATTTGACTGTGGGAAATGGAAATTGACCACCGCAAATTTCACTCTGGTCGAAACCCCCAATTTTCTGTTGAGAAACTGTTTCAGCGGCAAGTTTGGGACCGGCCCTCGCTGGGCCCTTGTCTCACTGTGAGGGGAAAAGCACGGCACATACGGACTAATAACTGCTACATCCATCCTCTAACAGAGCTGGGCAAATAATGGGGGGGTTGGGTTCGCCGGCAACTCTGAAAAATTGTGAAAAGTTTCATTTCGGCTGGACCCAGATGTGACATTTTTCAAACTTTCAGTGAGTCAAAAAAAGAGTTAATCATTGGAGCTGGTGAGTGGGGCCGGATGAATCTTTTGTGGGCCCTGGCACCCGGACCGTGGGCTGGCCCCCCACTCCACCTGTGCTCCACCCCCAGGCCCTGCCCCCACTTGGCCTCTTCCCTCTGAGCCCCCGCTCATGCTCCACCCTAAGGACCTGCCCCCGCTTGGCCTTTTCCCCCCGAGGCCCCGGCTGTCACTTGCATAGGGGAGGGAAGGGGCAGAGAGGAGCGAGCGGGAGGTGAGGGATGGAGAGGAGCGAGTGGGGGTGAGGGGATGGAGAGGAGCGAGCGGGGGTGGAGAGGAGCGAGCGGGGGTGAGGGGATGGAGAGGAGCGAGGGAGGATGAGGGGATGGAGAGGAGCGAGCGGGGATGGAGAGGAGCGAGCAGGGGTGAGGGGATGGAGAGGAGCGAGCGGGGGTGAGGGGATGGAGAGGAGTGAGCGGGGGTGAGGGGATGGAGAGGAGCGAGCGGGGTTGGAGAGGAGCGAGCGGGGGTGAGGGGATGGAGGGGAGCAAGCGGCGGTGAGGGCTTGGGGTGAAGAGGCTGAGCGGGGGGCAGGTTCTCAGGCTGGAGCAGGGGGACGGGGTCACAGTCCGGGCACTGGGGCCCCTTCTGAGTGTGGGCCCAGCGCCAACACTGGCGCCATTGTAAACCCAGTGCTACTGGTGGGTGCCCAAACCACCAAGCTGTAGCTTCATTCTCACACTCGTTCCCTGGCCCAAGGACTGGGCCTTGCCACTGTGCATGACAACGAAGAGTCATTGGGCCACTTGTACAAGGTGGAACAGCATCAGCAGGAGAGACTGGGAAAGCCCCATATCCAAACATCCCATAGCCCCGGGCACTCTGCTGCACTGGCAGAGACTCATGGTCCAACCTCTTGTCTATGTCAGGCAAGGGGGGATTGACCCCACGTCTCCTGCATCCCAGGTGAGTGCAGTAACCACTGGGGTAGCACGGACAAGAACCCAGCAACGGCACCGTCTTCAGCTGTGACTCCAGCCCAAAAATTCTCAATGTTTTGGTAATGACGAAACCAAACCAAAACATTTCTGTTGTTCAGTTTGGTCGAAACTATTTGGTGGACTTGACAGATTCATGAATTCGTGTCTCGGGGAGGAAACTATTGGCTGGATTCGTTTTGCCCCAGCTCCAGCCTTTAAATCAGGGGATCTCAGACTTCACTGCACCACAACCCCCTTCTGACAACAAAGTTACTACATGACCCCAGGAGGGGGCCGCAGCCCGAGCCCTGCCGCCTTGGATGGATGGAGAGGGGGCCTCAGCCTGAGCCCCGCCACCTTGGGAGGGGTTAGAGGGGGCCGCAGCCCCAGTCCCGCCGCCTTGGGTGAGGGGAGAGGGGGCCGGAGCCCAAGCCCCACCACCTTGGGAGGGGGGAGAGGGGGCTGGAGCCCGAGCCCCGCCACCTTCAGCTTCAGCCCCAGGTCCCAACAAGTCTTAAAATGGGGTCACAACCTACTTTGGGGTCCCGACCCAGAGTTTGAGATCCGCTGCTTTTAACTCAGCCCTACAGCGTAACCCAGAGGGCCCAGTGTTGTCAGAGGTCAGGATTAGGCCTTCAGAATATTATTTGCTCCCACATGGTGAGATTCCCTTTGCCTGATGTGACAAAATGGGAATTTTCTGTAATATTTTTATGACGCCTATGTGTGCCTCAGTTTCCCCATATTTCATATTGTTACCCAGTTGGCGGGGGTGGGGGGAGGCTGTTTGCTCTCAGGGCAGGCTAAGGGCATGTCTACACTTACAGTGCTCCAGTGGCACAGCTGTGCTGCTGCAACGCTTCGGTGTGGACACTGCCCAGGCCAACGGGAGGGATTCTCTCGGACCATCCCCCAAGAGATGGTAGCTAGGTTGATGGAAGAATTCTCCTGTCGACCTAACACTGTCTATACCAGGGATTACGTCAGTTTAACTGCATCGCTCAGGGGTGTGGGTTTTTCACACCATTGACTGATGTAGTTAAATTGACCTAATTTTCTAGTGTAGACCAGGCCCAGGGGCACAGGTATGAATCTCGCCTCGCTGCCTGAATGGATCATTGAGAAAAAAAACGGTCTCATATCAATGGAGGTTCTGAGAAGACAATGGCCAAGCCAGTCAGCAGGACATTGATCCCCAACACCCAACAACCCTAATGGAGAAGGATTTCCCCGCCTCTCGGCAGGGAAGCTGAGCAACATTGCCCAGTGGGAGAACAAAGCACTGGGAAGGTGTGAGGTGGAGGGTGGTGAAGCACTGGAATGGGTTCCCTAGGGAGGTGGTGGAATCTCCTTCCTTAGAGGTTTTTAAGGCCTGGCTTGACAAAGCCCTGGCTGGGATGATTTAGTTGGGGTTGGTCCTGCTTTGAGCAGGGGGTTGGACTAGATACCTCCTGAGGTCCCTTCCAACCCTGGTATTCTATGCTTCTATGATAAGCGTTGGCTGCTGGAATGAGTCGGGGCTCTCCTCTGGGAACTGACCAAGGGGGTCAGAAGAAGAGACAGACAGAACTGGAACAACGGGGGTCACTACAGCTTGGCTGGGCTGTGGGCTAACCAGAGTGGGCTTGGGCTATGCCTTAACCTGCCGATCTCCGTGATAACCTACAGGCTTCCTAGGCTGGGTTCCTGCTGACAGCACTGGTTGAGTGTCACTGCAGTCCTGGGCGCATGAATCCCTGAAGAGCGGACAAGTCTCTGCCAGGAGTCTGGCTCAGTTGGACCCGCTGAACAGAGCTCGCGGTGTGAAAGGGGAGGGCTGGGGCCCCAGAGGATCAGTCTAAGGAGGTGGTGAGGGTGCATAACGCTCACCAGAGGAAGAGTGAGACCCCTTGGGGGTCTGGCACATTGCAGGGGCGCCTCCTAAAGACCGTTCCAAAGCTGGGATCATAGCACTGATCCTGTGGATCCGTGACACCTGTAATATTTCAATAGCCTGTTTTTTCTAGCACAAGGTCAGGCATCACTTTCGTAGGCCAGAAGGGACCATTGTGATCCTCTAGTCTGACCTCCTGCGTAGCTCAGGCCAGAGACCTGCCCCCCGATAATTCCTAGAGAAGAGCTTTCAGATAAACAGCCGATCTCGATTTAAACATGCCAGTGATGGAGTATCCATCCCGGCCCTTGGTAAATGGTTCCAATGGCATGTAAGCCCTTGCTTAGAGGACAGTGCGATCCAACATCTAGGCAGGAGGCAAGCGGAGACAACTGCCTGGCGTACAACATGAACCCCTTTTACTTTTCCTGTGTCCTCCCCCCACCCCTCCCACTTCTCTGTTTCAAACACCCGTCACAAGAATGGCACTTACTGTAAAAAATCCGGCGATTTCGACATGGCGTGTTCAAACTCTGCGAAGGACAGCATGTTGTCATTGTCCAGGTCGGCCTCCTACAGCACCTGTTGGGATGGGATGGGAGAGAGACAGACAAAGGACTTAGAGGAGAGAGAAGGATTAGCGCTGCTGTGTTTATTTTGACCCAGCGGGTGTTGTATAAGGTATGAGGCTAGAGGTGAAACCATCCATCCCAGAAAGAGCGAGAACAGCACGATTGGTAACACCGTGAAACCACAGAGGATACCACGTGAACAAATCAAATAGCAGGAACGTGGACACGTACATGGTTTGTCAGTGTGACGAGCTCTTCCTCCAGTAGGTCGTCGCTGTTTAACAGTCGCTGGATGATGCTCTGCAGGTCTTCCTCGTCGATAAAGCCGTTCTCGTTGAAATCTGCTGGCAAGAGCCATTTGAAAGTGTAGTGAGGAGACTAACGGGACCTGGGGTTTTGTTACGATTTGTTACGGCAGGAGGCCCGAGCTCCATGGGGCTAGGCGCTGCACAAACACGGACCAAAACCATGTTCCCTGCCCCAAAGCGTCTAAACAGAATTTACAATGAAGATGGGTGGAAATTTTTCAATGGAAACTGTTTTTCAGTGGAAGATTGGGGCCTCATTAAATGCATTTGTGTTTGAAAAGTGTCTTGGGTCTACAGAACATTTTGAATGTTCATTGAAAAACAGAATGTCCCCAAATCAAAATATTTCTATTTGGATATACTGCTGCAGGTGCTCGGGGACTCCATTCTCCTCTATGGGCTGGGCTCCTCTGCCAGAATACATCTCCCATGATGCAACACGTCCCCTCTCCAAGAGAAGAGGCTGTGGTGCATCATGGGAATTGTAGTCCAACCAGGGAGCCTGGCCTATAGAGAAGAAAGGGAGCATGAGGCTCCCAAGTACAGCTTCCACAAGGCATCACGGCAACATTTCAGAACTGCAATAATTTGGTCTTGAAATTTTTCACCAAAAAAAATCAAAATTGGTATGGGGAAAAAAATCCCATTTCCTGACCAGTCCTATTTATAGTCTAAATATTGTCCCTTTCTCTATGCTCCTTACCCCCTCCCTTTGTGGTACCTACCCTGGGCCCACCATAACTAGGAGCTCAGCGCTTGGCTGAAGTGGTGGGGCCCTGAGCAAATTCACAAGCAAAGGCAGGACTCATCCCTCCCCGCCTGTGGAATTGCTCCAGGTGGGGACCATTTTAGGAGGAGTCCGAGGTCGTGGAATTGTGGGCCTGGGCCCCAAAGAGGGGGTAGAAATAGCCCTGATGAAGCAGGAACGTGCAGGCTGGTAGCCATCCTTCCTTTCGTAACTGCTGCCCGTTGGAAATGGAAACAAGGAAGACGTGCTCCTGGTCAGCACAAGGGCACCTCTTCAGAGCCATCGGCGGCATGCGTGCGGTGGCAGCGCACTCCCCTCAGAAGGAGGCGGGGTCTGACTACAAGTGGGTGACGAGGACACAGCCAAACACCGTCAGAAAAAGATGGGTGGGGAAGAACGTTTCTGAGTCTAAGTTCCCGCCAATCTTTGCTGGAGCAACTTGTGCATAGCGGAATCAACATACGTTAGGCACAGAAGGCTTGCGTAGTGGATCAGGTGCTGGACTTGGTCTCGGGACACCTGCGTTTAATTCCGGGCTCAGCCACAGACTTCCCGTGTGACCTTGGACAAGTCACTTAGGCCGAGATTTTTTAAAGGATTAGGCGTTGCAATGCTGAACATAGCAACTCCTAAACGCCTTTAAAAAACTGGGCCATCATCTACCCAGTGCATCAGCTCCCCCTCTGTGAGGTAGTGATCACAGTCCTTCCCTACTTCACAGGAGAAAGCAAAATCCATGAATAAGTGCAAGGTGAGTAGATACGGTGGTGATGACAATATAATTAGACAGAAGTCAGTGATTTACACCCTCTAAGGATCTGGCCTAGTCCATATAGTCATAATGGCAACATCGGTGTATTTTTTTCCCTCCATCTACCACCCATGCCTAGAAATGTTGGGGCACCACTTAGGTGATACGTCATTTGGTTCACAGACAAGCCTGTTTCACACCATTTTAATGATCACAATGCCTGGTGAGTATTATCTGGCATTGGTTGAAAGTGCTCTGATGTTGGCAACGGCTGGGCCATGAATTCCACTGGGACTCCCAGGTGCTCCAGTAATACAGATAATAAATAATAATTTAGGCCAAGATTTTCCAAAGTGACAGGTAATTCTGGGTGCCTGCATGCTTACATACCCAACTGAAGATGCCGGGGTGCCCCAAGAACCTCTTAACGCCACCTGTCCAAGGGGTGCAGAGGGGTTGTAGGAATCTACAGCGGAGTCCAGCGGAGGGCAACAAAAATGATTAGGGGGCTGGAGCACATGACTTACGAGGAGAGATTGAGGGAACTGGGATAGTTTAGTCTGCAGAAGAGAAGAATGAGGGGGGATTTGATAGCTGCTTTCAACTACCTGAAAGGGGGTTCCAAAGAGGATGGAGCTCGGCTGTTCTCAGTGGTGGTAGATGACAGAACAAGGGGTAATGGTCTCAAGTTGCAGTGGGGAAGGTCTAGGTTGGATATTAGGAAACACTATTTCACTAGAAGGGCAGTGAAGCACTGGAATGGGTTCCTTAGGGAGGTGGTGGAATCTCCTTCCTTAGAGGTTTTTAAGGTCAGGCTTGACAAAGCCCTGGCTGGGATGATTTAGTTGGGGATTAGGTCCTGCTTTGAGCAGGGGGTTGGACTAGATACCTCCTGAGGTCCCTTCCAACCCTGATATTCTATGATTCTATGAATCTCCTAATTCTGGTTGTACATTAAGGTGCACCAAAGAACATCATGTGAGGTCTCAAATGGAAGCTGGTGTCACGCTAGCCATTGATATCACTGTGCAATGTGTGTACAGATCCTATATAAGGAGCTATGTACATAGAGTGAAAATATGTTGTTAAAGTCTGCATCGAGGTATTAGGCATCAGCCAAGGTGACAAAGAGGTGATGAAAGAGGCAGTGTCTGCCATCCCATCTATCTGTTTTCATGTAAATTGAGTACTGTCTCCTTCCCAATGGGTTCCCCATAACCAGTCTGGACTGAATGCAAATGAGTGAGTGTAAGAAAGAACTCCAGAAAGAATAACAGGAAAAGAAACCCAACTGGGGAAGAGAACCTGATCTTGAGGTGCATATCAAAGGTTTGCTTGAGTATATATGGAGGGCCAAAGGGGAGGCCCAGGCACCCTTCACTGAGGGAAAAAAAGGACAGCGATTTTGCTTCATGAGAAAGGGTCTCTGTCAGCTGTGGCAAGAACTTTGCATGAGAAAAGCTTCTTTAGACAAGAGCGTGACTTGTTAGTCAAGTCTGGTGTCTAGAAAGCATGGTCTGATTTTGTTTCACATGTAGCCATTTGTTTCCCATATCCTCATTCACTATCCCTTGGCTCGCCAGTCTTTGATAATAAGCCTGTTTTTCTTTACACTATCAATCTATCTCAGGGCTGTGGTGAGAAGCAAAGTGCTGATCCTGAGTTGGCCCTTACAGGCCAGCGTGCCCTGTTCTTCTGGCAGTTCTGTGAGTGTCCAGAGATGCTCTGAGGCCTCGAGACCTGAAGGGCACTGTTTGCACTGCCAGAGGCTGTTGGTTTCAGGGAGCTGATCCATAGCAGGCACAGAGAAGCCTGCCTCACGCGAAGGGCAGGGAGTGGGGAGGAGCAGGGGCATGTCACTGCCTGCATTTCAAAGGGCTGCTCAGCACTGACTGAAAACCTGACCCCTTGGAGGTGGCGCACGTCGGGCACCCGAAACCACTCATTACATTTTAAAATCTTGGCCTATTTGTTCCAATGTATAAAATAGTGGCTGCTGCAGGCTTTAAGCACATGGGTTATTAAAACGCACCCGTCAAAAGCTAACTCATCTGTCCCAACACCGGCACAGTAAAACCCTGTGTCCCGGGAGCCCAGATGAAACCCTGCACGATCTCGCCACGCACCCCGGGGACAGCTTGGCGCTTTGTTGGCTTGTTAAATCTTGCTGCTGGTGGAGTGGGACCTCTTACCGTAAATATAAAAGGCATATTCTATTTTTAGACGGGGACTAGCTTTGTCGCTGAAGACAGAGGCCATGCCTAAGACATCCTCGAACGTAAAGGTGCCGTCCATGGAGAACACTCGGCAAATTCTGTCCCTAAAGGGATTCACCTGTGTGAAAAGAAGCGGGATTTGTTTAAATATACCCTGTTATTTATATATATTTATAAATATATAAATATATATATATACACACTGCAGACAATCCCCTGTTCCAGCCAACCCCTCTTTTAAAAGAATTCTTGACAGGTAGGAAACGCCAGAATTAAGGCTACGTGGACAACTGTAATGGACGAGGTGGTACCGAGACAGTATTTTCCATACCTTTATGCTCCTGTTTTTTTGTCCTGCACCTCAACTTGACCCTTTGCTGAATCACAGGCCAGAGTCTGTCTTTCCAGAAAGCATTACACACAGTTAAACCTCATGGCTACTGCATGCAAAACCCTGAATGTAGGTGATTCTAGTTCCCAGTCGGCTTCAAAGGGAGAAAGACAACTTCTTAGTAACCATTTAATACACACCCAGCCCTGTAAATGGTCTTTGGAATACTTCTGGCTAACTCTTAAAGAAAAGCTATTAGATTGTAAACCTCCTGGTGTCACCCACCCTGACAGCAGCACTTTCCTGTCTTACATATATTTCAGGGCATCGTTTCAACAGAACACACTTTATCACACACACATACAGACCCATTGCTCTCTGATCTTCTCTCAGAGCTGATTTATCAGTCTCTATAGTGTGGCCATAGTAGGTGCTGTGTTCTTCAGAGCTTAACTCTTTGCTGAAGCATAGGCCGGACTGCTGTCTGTTCAGAAGGCATTACACAGTGTTAAACTTCAGAGCTATTGTGTGTAAAACCATGAGAAATGGAGGGTCATAGTGCCCAGTCATTTCTTGGAGAAGCAGCAGCCACTTTCTTAGTAAATGCTCACAAAACACCTTGTAAATCATATGAAATATGGAATACTATGAATAACTTGTAAACAAAAGCTTTCAGACCGTAAGTCTACTGGTGTTTCTGGTATCATAGAATATCAGGGTTGGAAGGGACCTCAGGAGGTATCTAGTCCAACCCCCTGCTCAAAGCAGGACCAATCCCCATACAGATTTTTGTCCCAGATCCCTAAATGGCCCCCTCAGGGATTGAGCTCACAACCCTGGGTTTAGCAGGCCAATGCTCAAACCACTGAGCTATCCCTCCCTGATTCTCCCCCTTTTGTTTCTGTTTCAAACATTGACATCTAAGGTTTCCACATATTTTCTGTACATCAGCTCACACGTCAAAACGCATTCCCTTCTGATCTTCTTTGCAGTGTGACCGGAGTAGTGTGACCATGAGTCACCTGGACTCTTCCGAGCTCGAGAACACTCCTGTCAAACACTTCAGACCCTGGCAGCGAACAAACACTCTGGGGAGCTCCCGAGCTAGCAGCTTCCAGCCCTTGGGGCAGTAGCTGACTGGTCCTCTCCGTTGCCGGTGAAACACAAGTCTGTAGCCTGTATCCAAGGGGGTGCAATGATTGGGATCAGCCTATAAAATATTGCCTGAGCATCCCTGGCCCCTCCCAGGACTCAGAGTACCAAATGCTGTGGTATAAAGCATGTGGATTGCATAACCTTAACTCTGCCCACTTGTGCATTATGCTATAATCTTTGATTACATGACCACATACCATTTTGCCCACAGGAGCCCTGCCCCATTCCATGCACAGGCCGGATGAATGAAATCAGGGCTGTATAGTGAAGGAGGCTGTTGTTTGTAGGCTCCCTGACTCTCGCTGCAAAAAAGTGGCAAATGTGCAGCAAATGAGGCAGGAGATTGCGGGAAGAAAGAAGAGGGTCTTATGTGTAAGACAGTTGAATGCCCCACTGGAAAACTAGGTTCAGTCCCTGCCTCTGGCACAGAGGCCCTGTGTGATGCTGGGCAAGTCACTGAAATCAGCATTGTCACAGCTGGCCCCTCATGAGGTGCTCATTTTCTGGGTGAGCAGCACTACAAATAAACATACTTTAAAATAAACTGTTTGCAAATCAACCTAGGTATTATTTGTCTGGTGGTGGGCCCAGAGCCCTGCGCAGGTAAGGGATATACACATCCAGACCCGCCACTCGTACAAACACAGGCAATTGAAAGGTCTCAAACCCACCGCGTTATTTCCATAAGCAGGTAACCATCGTTTCCCACCACTGTCATCCTCTCCCTCCCCCACGCCTCCCATTACAAAATCTCGTCTCCGGGTATACGGTTCGTCTATGTAGAGAGAGCTATCTACTGGCAGGGACAGAATAGCATCTGTTGTACTGGTCATACGTGTAGGTTACATAAAGTTGTTACTAAACAAACGGATTCCTGGGTGCGTCGCGATACCTGTGATTGTTCTTTTAAATCTTACATAGTTCCCCCCTCCCCCGCAACCCCGTTAAAGAGCTTTATACAAATCCCCTTTGTAAATCCCCTTTAGAGCCCGGCTGGCTCAGATGATGGAATACCTCACACAGCGTCAACTAAGACGGAACAAGAAGCAACGGTCTCAAGTTGCAGTGGGGGAGGTCTAGGTTCGATATCAGGAAACACTATTTCACTAGGAGGGTGGTGAAGCACTGGAATGGGTTCCCTAGGGATAGGGTGACCAGATGTCCCGATTTTATAGGGACAGTCCCGATTTTTGGGTCTTTTTCTTATATAGGCTCCTATTACCCCCCACCCCTGTCCCGATTTTTCACACTTGCTGTCTGGTCACCCTACCTAGGGAGGTGGTGGAATCTCCTTCCTTAGAGGTTTTTAAGGCCCGGCTTGACAAAGCCCTGGCTGGGATGCTTTAGTTGGGGTTGGTCCTGCTTTGAGCAGGGGGTTGGTCTAGATACCTCCCGAGGTCCCTTCCAACCCTGATATTCTATGATTCTATAAGACCAGCTCTGTTCTTACAAAGAGAAGAGCTGTAAAATGATGAGGTGATCATTTGTTCTGTGTCTGAACAGCACTCAGCACTCTGGGGCCCTGGAACCATGACTGGGCTTCCTCCAGTGTTGCCAAATTAAAACATCATGATTTCTAAGCCAAGTCTCATGAGTTTGAGGAGCCTGGTTCATGGAGGCAGCACTGCAGAGGTGCGAGGTGCACTAGTTCTTTTAGAGCAAAACGAAGAAATGCAAAGGACAAGTGATGCTCTACTGCCATCTAGAGGGGGGAGGGACTCCCTTTTTCAGACCAAGGAACTGCAACAGAAATCGAAACGCACATATGGTTTACAGCAATAAACATTTAATTCCCTTTTTAAGCAACAATAAAAATAGGGTTATGGTTTTCTTCCACCGGCTATACAGATAGAAGTGCTCACAAAAATGGAAAGAACTTGCTAGAACCAGAGTACTCTTGTACTGGGCCAGCAAGGTGGTCACAGCAAATAATTCAACCCCAAGTAGTAGCAGTAGGTCAAGTTACAAATCGAGCATGTCAAAAAACAGTAAAAATGTTTAATGCCAGGGGATCTCTCTCACACACACAACTAGGGTTGCCAGCTTTCTGATTGCAGACAACCGAACACCCTTACCCCACCCCCCTGCCTGAGGCCCCGCTCCTGCCCCACTCCTTCTCTGAGGCCCCACTCCCGGTCACTCCATCCCTCCTCCCTCCGTTGCTCGCTCTCTCCCACCCTCGCTCACTCACTCATTTTCACCAGGCTGGGGCAGGGGTGAGGGAAGGGGTGAGGGCTCCGGCTGGAAGTGTGGGCTCTGGGGCAGGGCCGGGGATGAGGGGTTTGGGGTGCAGGAGGGGGCTCTGGGCTGGGGGGTGGAGCCGAGGGGTTTGGAGAGTGGGAGGGGGCTCCAGGCTGGGCAGAGGGTTGTGGTACGGGAGGAGGTGTGGGGTGTGGGCTCTATGAGGGAGTTGGGGTGTGAGAGGGGGCTCAGGGCTGGGGGAGGAGGTTCAGGGTGTGGGGCGGACTCTGAGTGCGGGGCGGGCTCCAAGCAGTGCTTACCTGAGGTGGCTCCCAGAAGTGATGACATGTCCCTGCAGCCCCTATGGGCCAAAGAGGATTCACATGCTGCCCTTGCCCGAAGGCACCGCCCCCACAGCTCCCATTGGCTGCAGTTCCCGGCCAATGGCAGCTGTGGAGCTGGCGCTCAGGGCAGGAGCAGCGCGTGGAGTCTCCTGGCCGCTCCTGCGCCTAGGGGCTGCAGGGACATGTCGCTGCTTCCAGGAGGTGCGCAGAGCCAGGGCAGGCAGGGAGCCTGCCTTAGCCCCGCTGTGGCGCCAATTGGACTTTTAATGGCCCAGTCAGCAGTGCTGACTGGAGCCACCAGGGTCCCTTTTCGACCAGGCGTTCCGGTCGAAAACTGGAGACCTGGCAACCCTAACACCAGGGATGAAAGTAATATTAAATTCTTACGCGGGAGCAGTGGCGGCCGGAGCCCTGGGCCCTTTTAAATCGCCGGCCCCGGGGCAGCTGCCCCTTTTGCCCTCCCCTGTCGGTGGCACGGGGAGGCAAAAGGAGGCAATGATATGTGACAAAGTTCCTCCTCTCTCTTGGTGGGTCCTGCGCTTATTGGCGGATTTTCTTGCCTCAGAGATTCACCATGTGGGTTGGGGAACAGCCCAGAGACCTTCCCCTCTGGGAGAACCCACAGTCCAGGTCAATTGGGAGGTTTGGGGGGGAACCCGGGCCCGCCCTCTACTCCGGGTTCCAGCCCAGGGCCCTGTGGACTGCAGCTGTCTATAGTGCCTCCTGTAACAGCTGCATGACAGCTACAACTCCCTGGGCTACTTCCCCATGGCCTCCTCCAAACACCTTCCTTATTCTCCCCACAGGACCTTCCTCCTGGTGTCTGAGAACGCTTGTGCTCCTCAGTCCTCCAGCAGCATATCCTCTCCCTCTCAGCTCCTTGCACCTCTTGCTCCCAGCTCCTCACACTTGCACCACAAACTGAAGTGAGCTCCTTTTTAAAACCCAGGTGCCTTGATTAGCCTGCCTTAATTGATTCTAGCAGCTTCTTAATTGGCTCCAGGTGTCCTAATTAGCCTGCCTGCCTCAACTGGTTCTAGCAGGTTCCTGATTACTCTAGTGCAGCCCCTGCTCTGGTCACTCAGGGAACAGAAAACTACTCATCCA